GAGGCACCGGCCCACTTGCCCTGGGAGGAAAGAGGTGGGCGTCAGCCACGTTGGCCTGCCAGCTTGGTGGGGATGGGGGCAGGATCCCTGGCACAGATCCTGCCGGTGACCTTCGCGAATGAATGAATGAACTGCATTTTCACAGGGTTCTGGTGACACAGCACACCACAGTTCTCCTTCCAGGTGTTTCAGGCCAGGTGGGAAGGGGGTGGCCCGGACATGCCTTTATGTGTCAGTTCTTGGTGCTGCCCTGAACTGTCCTCCCCCAGCCAGCACAAGGAAGCTTTGTTGCAGGTGGGTGACCCTGGCTGGGATGTGATCTGGGCCCTGTGACCAAAGGCAAGGTTTGTTTGGGGAGCTGTTGCCTGAATAGTTGAGCAATTTGGGTTTTGGTTTTTGTTTGTTTTTTTGGTTTTTGGCAGCTGGCCGGTGTGGGGATCTGAGCCCTTGACTTTGGTGTTACCAACACCATGCTTTAACCAACTGAGTTAACTGGCCAGCCCAATAGTTGAGCACTTTGGATACCAGGAATAAATTCAACACTGAACTGGAAACTCACTGTCACCTGATCTCTCCAACCTTCTTAGTGGCCAGAGTTTAAATCTTTTCAAAGTAGGCACAAGGGCTTCCCTAGATCTTGGACTGAGTGTTTCCACTGAAGCTTAAAGGAACAGGGGACAGAAGTTTTTGGTTTCTACCAACCCTCTTCCACACTGGTAATGATGTCATCCCCCATGGAATTCAAAGCCAGGCAGGTGAAAAAGCTCCTTCAGCCCCCTTTGAACCTCACTGTGGCCCAATGAGGCAGCCAGGGCAGGAGTTGCTGACCCCCAGTGTGCAGAGAGGCAGAGCCCAGCGTCACTAACTCCTATTCCAGGCTCACCCACCTTCAGGGCTGCTGTCAGCAGCTAAATGGAGCCTCACCTGGATGGAAGGAGCCTCCCCAGGATGGCTCCACCTTTCAGGTGCTCCTTCCTCCCTGAAACTGCCAAATGGCCGGGCAGTGACTTGGCACCAGGCTAGGTGCGTGGCCACTGAGCAGGGCTCCCTGCCCCAAGGAGTGGTGGGGAGGGGCTCTGATCAGCTGTCAGCCTTCTCATCCCCTATCCTCCCTGCTGTTGCTGTCATCAGGCCTCAAGGCAGGTGGGGCCAGCCTGGCGTTGGAGGGAGCTGAGAGTCAGGCAGAGGCGTCTGGCCTGGTTGCTATAGGGATAATCACTCTAATGACACACTTGATGTCTCTCATGCTTTACAGTTTCACTGAACATTTCCTGATAATAACAGCACCCATGAATGGGTTGCAAACCATGGGCAGGCACTGTCCCCTAGGAGGTAGGAATTATTAGCCCCATTTTACAGATGAGAAATGAGGCCCAGAGAGGTTAAGTTCTTGTCTAAGATCCACAGCTAGTAAGAGGCCGAACTGGGATTTGGACCTACGTGTGACCCCAAAGCCAGACTCTCTCCTAACATCGCACCTCATATGCATAGTTTCATTCAGCTCTCAGACTGAGGTGGGCAGAGTGGGTGATCTGCTTCTCCCCATTTTACAGATTTGGGAACTGAGCCTTGGAGAGAGGCAGTGGCTTGTCTTAGGCCAGCAGGACGCAGAGCCAGGATTTGATCTCCAGATGTCAGGCCCCAGCCACACTCCCATTCTACGCTCATCCTTCTGCAAGAAAGACATTAGCCACCGGACCAGGGAAATCTGCCCTAGGTGACAGGGAATTTCCCTGAATATCTGACCTTGCTGGGCCCTGGATCATACTGTTTTCCTGGAGTTTATTTTTGGAGTGGTGGCCCAGGTCACACAGTTTGCCTGGCCAGGGTACTGTTTACTGTTTTTCTGTTTATTGTGACTGCTGTTGACTTTCAGCCCATGTGTGGCTCAGCCCCCTCCAAGCCCCACCAATCCCAAGCCCAGAGTCCTTTGAGAACCCTACACAATGAGATACTGCCCTGCAGACTCCAGAACAGCAGAGGTGGCCAGGCCAGCCCTCAGTCTGATGTGTTGTCCCCTTCTCAGGATGCAGGTGGCCAGACAGGATCTTTCAGCCCCTCAACCAAGTCACAAACACATCAGGGACAGCCTCAAGGCTGACCCGTCACTGTGCCCCCAGAGAGGAGTGTCTGTCTCAAATCTGCCTCCCAGCTGTGGCTCAGGATGTCATGTTCTGTGGCTGGGCAAATGGGAAGGGAAGGAAAAGGACAGAGTGAGGGAAAGAGGAAGGAAGGAAGGAAGATGGACCTGCTCAAAAGAATAAAGAAGCTGAAGAAATGAAAGAAGGAACACATGCTTGCACGGATGAGAGAACACAACACATGACCTGAGTGGGGGTCTGCAGACAGGCGACCACTCTCCAGCCTCCACCTGCTCTAAGGCACCCCTGGCCTTGGCCCCTCTGCCCCATTTTCTGACACCCCACCCCCGTCCTCCCCTGAAGCCAGGAGTGGGGAGCTGTCCCAGTTAATTCTCTGCTTCCCCCGTGTGGCCGCTGTGTTCTCTGCACCGTCACCCACCCCCCATCTGCCTGCTCTGCGTGGGGTTCCTGGCTTGGGGTGTCATCAAGTGCTTGTGGATGGCTGAATGAGGGGAAAGTGCATGCCATGGGGGCAGAACCTCGGAAGTCTGTATCCGCTCCTTGGGATGACTTGGCAGGATGCACAGTCCCTGGTGTGTAGTTCCCGAAGCCCTTGCTTTCCTTGCGCCTCCTTTCATCCCAAACACCAGGTCCCAAGAGGCCTTGTCCTCAGCCTGAATGCCTCCACCCAAACCCCTGACCTAACATTTACCACGTGCCTACTGTGTGCCCGATACTAGGCATGTGATATTTCATTGCATCCTACGAAGTATGTACAATTCTCATCCTCCTTCGACAAATGAGGAAACTGAGGCCCAAAGAAGACAGATAATTTGCCAGGGTCTCACAGCTAGTAAGTGTAAAAGCTGGGATTCAAACCCAAGCAGTAGGGCTCCAGAGCCCATACACACAGAGTCCTCTGAAGTCAGAGGTGCAGGGGCCTTTAGAGACCATCATGTCTAACACCCTCATTCTTTAGATGGGGAACCTGAGGCCCTGAGAGGGGAAGGATCTTATCACATAGCAAGTAAGCAGCAAACCCAGGTCTATGCCAGGTGGGACCAAGGGCCTCTTCTCCCAAGCTTCCTTCTGCCTGGTCTCCCCCAGAACATCCCCAGCCTGGCTGCTGGGGCTGCTAACTTGAGCCCAGGGCTGTGACCTCCAGCACCTGCCTCACCATTCTCCATCTTTCTGGGTGGGATGGGAGGTTGGTAATGGGGCGGAAGTTGGTGGAGAGAGAGGGAGTCTTGTGGCCTGATCTTAGTGCTCATTTAGCCTTTTGGTTTGTCCCTTCGGTGTCTGCAGGTAGAAATGGCCATGGGCATAAGTCAAGTTTGGAGCTGCTGTCAACTACAGATGTGAGAGCCACTCACATCTTCTCACGCTGCTTCTCCTGCACGCAGGCCTGGCCCAGGTGATGCTGCTGGCCAGGTCAGTGACCGCCACACCTGTCTTCTTGGGTGGGGCTCCCAGAGGGGCCTGGGATCCTTGAGGAAGACCCGTGGGTGCGGGGCTGGAGGAGGGGGAGGGAAGAAGAAGGGGCAGGAAGAGCTGGGAATATGGACAGGGGTCAGAGAAGGGGCAGAAACAGGATGGGGGCATTATGAAGGAGAAGGCGAATAGAGGCAAAGCAGCTTCTCTCAGCCCCGGTCCTGCTGAATGAACCCCAGACCTCAAGGTAGCGTGGAGGCCCCCCGCCTGCCCCTCACTGACCAGACAACGCTCACTGACATCCCTCCACGTCACCTCCAAAGCTCCTTAGAGTGGCTCCCTCCCTCAGACCTGCTCCTGCTCAGGACCCCTCCATGGCTCCCCACCGCCAGCAGGATAAAGACCTTCTGCCTCACCCTGGACACTGGAAGCCTCCATAGCCCCGCCCCACCTCGCCTCTTGAGCCTTGGCCCAGCTGTGTCTCCTCTGACACATGTGACACCTTTGCTCCGGCAGTTGGGGCCCTTGACCCTCCTCACACGTACAATCCTGCCCTGCAAGGCCAGTTGTCAAACTTCCACCTCCTTCAGGAAGCCATCCCTGATCTCCGCCCTTCTCGTGAGGTCCTGCAACAGCCTGTCTCATTGCCCTGATTGGGGGGCGACTCCGCAGAAGCTCTTCACAAGTCAGTCCCCGTGGTGGGCAGGCCTCCCGGGGGCTGCCGGGATTCTCATCTAGCTCATCCCTATTCATGTTTCCAGGAGAGGGGTGAGGATGGCAGGGGGGAAGCCACAGCAGCCTGGGATCCCAAGGGGTCTCTCTGATTCCCCTCAGCCTCACCTTCAAGGAGCTGGGGAAGGGGGCAGTGTTGCCTGGTGATCATGAGCACAGGCTCTGGAGCCAGTCTGTGCTTGAATCCCAGCTCTGCAACTTTCTGGCTGTGTGATCTTGGACTAGTTTCCAAACTTTTCTGAGCCCCCATTTCCATGTCTGCAAAAAAGGGGGTGACAACAGTACCTACCTTTAAATGTTGCAGGCTGGGGACCAGCGCTCACTGAATGTGTAAGCCCTTCTCCCCTCCCAGCCTCTCCCTTGGCTTCCCTCTTCCCATCCCTCACTTTGCTTTAGCAAGGTGGAAAACTTGGCTGAGTTTTTGCCACTCCTGCCCTTTTGTATACACTGTTCTCTCTGCCAGAAATGCTTTTCCTGCCTCATCCACCTGATATAATCCTTCCTGCCCTTAGGACTCAGCTGAGTGTCACCACCAGGAACCCTTCCTTGGTGTTCCCCACCAACACCCTCCCCTGCCAGGCTGGCTCAGGGGCCCTTCTTCTGAGTTGCTCAAGCAGCCTGGTGCCATTGGTCTTTGTGATGTCCCCAATCAGACAGGGCCCTCACTCCTCTCTGGGTACCCAGCAGCAGAGGAAGGAGGGCACACAGTAACCCCCATGAGGTCTGAGTCCCTGATTCCTGGAGAAGCCACAAACGTGATTTGGGGCTGAGCAGGGCTCCCTGGAAGCCCCCTCTTCCTGCCCAAGCTTTATTTTGGTTCTAGAATCATTCCAAACAGCATACTCGGTCCCCACCACGGCCATCCTGGGTACACAGTCAACATTTCATGCAGTTAGAGGGAGAGAAAGAGGGGAAAGGGAAGGTGGGAGTGAATGGCCTGCTCTGCATAGCCACTGGCTTAGAAAGGGCTTCCCAGGCTGCAAAGGCCCGCCCAGCCATGCGTGTCCCCCAACCCTGGGCTGACCTCCTGGTGCTGGTCACAGGGTAGACAGCCTGGCCTCAGGGCTGGGCCATGGCTGTGTCAGGTGGGGAGTGCCACAGTCCTGCCTCCAGTCCCATGACCACCCTGGGCCCCTGTTCTAGCCACCCTCCCCATCTCCATGTCATTGGGGATAACTGGTTGGACCTGGGTCTCCGTAGCTCACCAGGGCCAGGGAACAGGGGCAGCTAGCCCGAGAGTTCTTGCTCGTTCCAGTGGGTGGCCCTGCAGAGCAGATGCTGCTGCTGCCTGCTCTGCAGTCCCTGTGACCAGGCAGGTGCACCCACCCATCAACACTTCTCTGGGACTGCCTTTGGTGGATGATAGCGGCGTCAGCCAGTGACACCCTCACTCCAACTGGGCTGGCATGGGAGCCAAAGACTGACTCATATGGGGGTGGCCCAGCCCCTTTGTTTTTGGGTGGGATCCCCGGGGTGCCTTGCACACTCCAGAGCTCCCCCTGGTGGTCAGGCTGAGGCTGCAGTTTGCTGGGCTTCTTCCCTGGCCCCCCCTTTGCTCTGCCTGGCAAGTTTCTGAGATCACTCCCCCAATAAGCGCCTTGCCAAAAATCTCTTTCTCAGCATTTGCTTCTGGGGAACTCAACCAAGGACACCCAGCGTCCTGGGGGTTGGAGCCCTGCTCCAGAGCCACCTCCTTTCCAGTGTGGCAATCACACTTCTCCAGCTGTCCCTCAAGCCACCCTCCTGACTCCCCTGACTTTCCTTCATGCTGCAGCCGCATGCACTGTCCCTCCCCACTGCCACTGCTCCCAGGTCCAGCACAAGGCCTCCTTGTCCCTCACACCTTCCCGGATGCCTGCAGCCTACACCTATGCTGTCAATATTCTGTCTGCCCCACCAGCCCCCACTAGCTGAGGCCCACCTGTGTTATCTGCTTCCCAGCAGGGCTCGAGCTGGAGAGACATCAGCCAATGCTGTGGAGCCAGTGCCTTAATTGCATGGGACTGGTCACAAGGACCTTGCAATGGCTGAGGTAAGGGAGTAGGTTTCATAGAGAATAACTCCAGAGGCTGTGTCCCATGTGGGCCCGCAGGCTTCTGCTGGGCCTGGTCTCTTGGTCTCTTCTCCACGCAGAGGGAGCCCCTTGTCTGCAATGCGTTCATGACGGGAAATGTCGCATCCTGGCCATTGCTTAGGCTGGGCCCCTGCCTGGGCCACTCTCAGTTCTGCAACCAAAGCTTAGCACCTACCTTGTCCAAAAGGCACTCCCTGGTCCCCCTGCCCCAGAGCCACCCAGCTGGGCCAACATTCAGCAGATCACCTGGGGCCAAGGCACCCTGTCTTCCTGATGTCCCAGGGGCCATGTTTTGTGTGTGTTATCCCTGGCCCCCAAAACTCACTGGGTTTCAGTGCATGGCCCTGCTTGGCAGCTAGCCTACCAGGAGGAGTGGGGTGGGGGGAGCTCACTGGCTCTGAGAGGCCGAGTCCCCCTGCCAGACCTAGGGACAGACCTGTTGAGGATCTTAAGAGGGGGCACAATTGGCCAGTGCCCAGTGGTCCTCCCTAAGTCCTGGCCCAGCCACAGCTGGTCCTCTGTGGGAGAGCACCCTGGACCCATGGACACAGCCACCCCTGTTCTTCCACTGAAGTCTGGACAGAGGGACCAGGATGGTTCATAGGGACTCCATGGGGGACCCCAGTGTCATGGTTCCTGCTGCGCTATGAAGAGCACACTGGACAGAGTTGAGTTTGCGCCAGGCTCCAGCGGCTCCACTGCCCATTTGGCCCAGCTTGGCTGCTAGTTTCGCCGGACAGGGTGCCACATGGACACCGGCCTGCGCAGTGTGGCCAGCATCTGGTTCCAGTGTGTGGTGCCCATGCCACTGGCTGATGGCCCGATGATGACGTGGCCCACGTTGTCCCCATGGCCGTCACTGCTGCTCTCAGCCACTGTCACGCGGAGAGAGAGGTCCTGGGGAGGAGGCAACATGGGTGCTGGGGACCAGGAGCAGCCAGAGATCCTCCTTGGCTCCTGGGTCCCAGCCTACAAATGCCAGGCCCCAGGGGGTGCTGGGTGTGGCTCCCCAAACCCTCACCTCTGATCTGGGAGGTGAGGAGACTGGTCCGAGGTCACCCAGCTAATAAGCAGCGGGTGAGGACTTGAACTACATCTGCCTAACCCCACGGCCTTCTTTGGTGCCTCACTGCATGGTGGCAGCTCCAGACTGCCAGGTTCAATGCCAGCCTCACCGGTTCAATGCCAGCCTCACCGGTTCAATGCCAGCCTCACCACTTCCCTGCTGTGGGACCTTGAATAGTGACTTGGGCTCTTGCTACCTCAGTTTCTCCATTTTTAAAATGGTGATCATAATAGCTGCTACCTAATAGGGCTGTTCCAGGAAGGAAAAGAGTTAAAATGTGCAAGATGGTGCCTGCTCAGTCAGAGCATCGCGGAGGTCTCTGGCTGCTATTACTAACGCAATCATGCTGGAGTCACATGATGGAAACAACTTGCTTGAGATCAAAGCAGTGAAGCTGAAACTAGAACCCAGTCCGGCTTCCCTCCTCCTCCTCATCCCCCGTGGTCCCAAGAAGTCTCTAGACCTTGGAGGCTGTGGAGCAGTGGCACGGTGACCTCCTGGGGTGGGAGGGCAGGAGACAGATGGGCAGACTGTCCTACGAGGGTAGCAGGACAAGGCTACGACACCCAGGACCAGCCTGGGATGCTGGGATATTTGCTTGGATTAGGAACACCCAGGGTGAGGGAGAGTTCTGGGCCTTCAAATCTAGACAGGGGTCCTGGGGAGGTGAGATTAAGTGGATTCTGTACAGCCCAGGTCTATGCGGGGCAGATTTTGGCTAAAGGCACAAAGGACTTTCTCACTGTCAGGAGTGCCCAAGGATGGAAGGGCTAGCTAGTGAGGGAGGTAGTGAGACCCTATCCTCTGAAGAATGCAAACAGGGCCACTGGTGTGGCCCAAGCCATATCCTTGCAGTCCCCTCTCCCACGGTCTGTGATGTCCCTGCTGGGAGGGGTCTCCCTGGGGCATGTCACGTTCTGAAAGCCATGGGAGTGTGGGGACCTCAGCAGGGTTGTTGCAGTAGAACCTGGGGAGATTTAAGGCCAGAACTGCCCTGGGTTACCCCTGGCTCATCTCCAGGCCTCTGTAGTTACCTCCACTGGGGACTGTCTTCCCCCAGACCTCAGCTGAGCTATCCTCTCTCCTGCAGGAAGCCTTGACCATGAAATTCTGGGATGCTCTTTGTCCAGGGATTGTCCTGCCTGTTCCTTGTGAGCACCAAGAAAGCAGTGCCTGTATCCCCAGCATCCACCACAGGGGATGACACCCCGAGGGTGCTCAATAATTGCTTCTTGGCCAGAAAGGTGATGGCTTGAAGCAAACCATAACCACCTGCAAGAGCCCTGAGAAGCGAAGCCTGGGGGATGGAGTGGCCCCAGGACCCTTGGGTGGCCCAGCTCCTCACCTGGAGCACAATGGCTGGCACTGAGAAGATCATGGCTTCGTTGAAGACGGGGTTGGGGTCGTCCCTCTTCACGGCCGTCTTCTTCTTGCTCATCTTCCTCCCGTCTTGCAGCAGGTACACCTTGACGAAGGGGTCTGCGGGTGGGGGTGGGGTGGTGAGGGCCACTGCCAGCCTCACTTGGCACAGCCCTGCTCCGATCAGCTCAGCCCACTGGCTCCAAACTCCCCAAACCTTCACTACTGCCATCATCTCCTATAGTCCTGCCATCGGTCCCTTATTGTTTTTCCCATCTTACAGGCTCACTCAGCCAAGTCAGGAGAGGGCTGGGCTTTGGACGCAGCAGCCTGCCTTGGCCCACACGCTCCCGTCGCATGATGCTCTGGGGAGCTCAGCAGACCCACTACTTTTCATTCTATAAATGGACCGAGCACAGACGTCAGCCCTGAGTCACCGAGTGCCTGCTCAGCAGAGCCTGACTCAACAGTGTGCAGTTCTGAAATAACGAATTGCCGTCTGGCCATCACCTGTTGCTCACTGGGTGTCCTTGCTGCACCTGTCTGGACCTGAGGTCCCCCCACACTTGGGACTCCCAATAGGTCGGGCTCCCCAGCCCTCTGCTTTCAGTTACCCAGAGTGTGGCTGCCTCCGTGGGTCACCGCTTTGGGAAGGGCTGGGGGGTCCTGCAGACCTGGGGCATGAGGTCCTGCTCGGCACCCACTGGGTCCTGTCACCCCAACCCAGTGGCCCTGGCTCCCCTTTGGAGTCTGGGATGCTGCCCTGTCTCTGGGAGTGAATTCTCCATCATGAATTCCAGTTCTGGGAAGCAGGTGTCCACCTTGGTCCCCTGCCTAGTGCTCCCAGCCCTAAGTGCTGCCTCCTGCTCTCAGACCCCTGTCACTCTGCCCCCTTCCTCACTCTGTCCTCACAGGGGCTCCCTGCCACCCTCCAGGGCTCCCATGTCTCCCCAGCTGGATTAATCTTCCCACTGTAGGGTTCCTGAACTCCGCTGAAGCTGTGTGGGGCCCTGGCACTGTGCCCCACACCTGCTGATGCCTCCAGGCGCCCACGGCACAGCAGCTGGGCCACCGCTTCCATTGAGCCACATGGAGGAGCCAGGTAGCCCACAGGGCCTTACCCGCTGTGGTCTTGTCATTGGTCCAGATGAGATTCTTGGCCTTCACCACGACCACGGTGAGGCGCTCGGCTGTGGGGAGGTAGCTGAGGGACAGCAGGATCTCCCCGACAGCGTCGGCGGCCTGGAGGACAGGTGGGTGGCTCAGGGGGCTGCTCTCCCCAGGACTCCCCCCAGGGATCCAGGGAAAGGCAGAAGCTGCCTTCTCCAGACAGAAGCTGCTGCTCTTGGGACCCCTTCCAGGGCACCAGGCTAGCAGGACTGAGAAAGGGACAGCCACCCCCCCACCCCATGGAACATGCACCACCCCTCTCTTTCCACTGGGTGTGGGACTGCCTTAGAAGGAGGGCCAGAGGTTGCCTGTCAGATGCAGGAGTCAAATGCAGTTTTGTTCCCTCATTCCAGGCCAAGGAGAACATGCTGAGATAGTTTTACATAGAGATACAAGTGCAATGGAATTAGATCATTTGCTTAAACACAGTGATGATGTTCCCTGAGCACTCCTACACTTATAAAAGTAAACCAGCTTGGAGTCTACCTGAAATAATCTACTTTAAGGCCAAAGGATGCTTGCCTAACAGAAGCTCTGTAGGAATAGAACCTCTGAAGGTTTGATGGTAAAAGCAGTAGACAAGCTGCACACAGTGCGCAGCAAGTTTTCATCTTTTGCCCGCAGTAGACAGAGTTTCCTCGAATGAGGCTCAGGTCTTCTCTGCTCTCCTCATGGTGCCAGGATTCAGGCTGCTGCAGGGGACAACAGTCCCTGCTCAGAAGTGCGTGCGTGCGTGCTCTCTTCGGGGTCACGCTCACCTTGTTCTGGTCCTGTAAGTAGAGCCAGCCGCTGAAGGGCTGCAGCGGAAGGTCGAGCACAGAGAGCTTCAGCTCCACCACCCCCGTGCTGACGTTCCGCTCGTCCTCATCAATGCCAAACACAGAAAACCGCAGGCTCTTCTCCTCCAGGGCTGTGGGATCCAGGGGAATGGAGAACTTCTCATCGAAGTAGATGGAGTAGGCATTCCTCTGGATCTGCAGAGAGCAAGGGTCGTGAGGGAGCGCCAAAGCTGGAGAGGTGGCAGTCAGGGGCCTGAGAGGCTGCGGCAGGGACAGCACCAGAAAGGGAGTCCACAGGCCTGGGTTCTAGGCCTGGCTCTGTTGTCCCCACAACCTCAAAGCTGATCCTTCCTTTGGTGGTTCATCCTTGAAGGTTTAAAGCCCCCTGTCCTCTCATCAGTGGTGGCCAATCTAGTGGCCCAGCATTTGAAGCTTCCGCAATCTAATCCTAACTAATCCCCCTGCTGAGGATGGGGCCTCAGTGCCTGTGGTGTTACAGGACCCTCGTGATGCTCTGGCTGAGCTGGTCTCTATATTCTTACATCTGCTCGAGGCCCGTGCTGGGCCAGGCATGCAGTGGGTGTGGGATAGTTGTCTGTGGAGCCAAGAGCCATTGATGTCCCAGCGGCTTGTAGGATGGATGGATGGATGGATGGATGGAAGGATGGATGGATGGAAAGATGGATGGATGTAGTGACTAGCCAAGGCTGGGCAGACTCCGTTTTCAAGCCCAGTCTTGCCAGGTGGGCGCCACTGGCCTCCTCCCAGGAAGCCGTGGGCAGGCCCCCGGAAAGGTGCACTCGCGGGCACTGCTCTCCCTTCCGTGGGGGGCTGCCTTAGTCACTGCCTGGTGATATTTCAAGAGAGGAGCTCTCAGCCCTGGCACCTCGCCTGAGGCGGGGGGGCTGCTCAGCCTGAGAGCAGCCACCCACTTGGTGGGGTTGGCCAGTTGTGATGCTGGGAAGCCTGCCTTCCAGGGAATAAATCCGCCAGCACCTCCAGCCACCCTGAGCCGCACTCTTCTGCCACTGCCTGGGCTCTGGGAAGCCTCCTTTTTTGGTGATCCCTGGGCGCCACATTCCCCCCACTGTCCCCGGCTTGAGGCTCTTCAAGGCCTCCTTGACAGCATGGGATAAAGCCTCCCTCCTGTTCTCCTGACCTCAGCACTCAGGCTCTTCATAATCTTCTGATTCTCTCTCTCCTTCCTCCTGCCAAACTAGCCTAGGGACTGTTCCCTGCCCACAGGGCCTCAGGCACCCCTGCCCATCCATTCTCTGAGTGTTGTGCTTTATGGGCACACAGGTAGAGGAGGACGGGAACCCTGGGTTCAAGTCCTGGATCTCCTGCTTACTTGTGGGTTGTCTTGGGCAAAGTACTTTCCTGAGCTTCTGTTTCCTTCTCAGTAAGATGCCTTAAGAGTCTGTCTTGTCGGCCTCGGGGGGCTAACGAGAGAATCACGGATGTGCTGGGCTCGGTGGACCAGGTTCTCAGCATACATCAGGCAATGGGGGCTGCTGTCTGGCAATGTCCATCCTTGAGAGATGTGCCCAGAACTAGCCAGAGTCCTCCAGGCAGCCTAGGCCATAGACAGCATGGATTGGGCTCTACAGGAGCTCTTCATGGTCCCGAGAGCTAAGTACTGAGCATTTATCAAGAGCTGACCTAAGGACTTTACATGTATTAACCCATCCCTTCCTGAATAATTATGATGCCCATCTGACAGATGGGGAAACTGAGTCACAGGGTGCTTAAGTGATTTACCCAAAGTCACACTGCTAGGAAGTGGCGGAACTGGGATCTGAACCCAGGTAGTCAGACTCCAGGGTCCTGCTCCTAACCACCCGCTGTACAGCCTCTCTGAAGCTGGGCCACCCCCTCTTGGAGCCCCACATACACAGGGCTGGGGTCAATTCTAGACCCTCCCAGAGTGATGGGGCTAGGATGGGAGAGGGATGACAGTGTCCACCCTGAGGAGTATCCAATTTTCTGCATAATAAAAGTGACCAGACAGAGGTGGGTCTCTGAGGAGTGTGAAGGCACTTGGTCCTGTAGGTCCTCAGGCTCTTCCCGCTCAGGTCAAAGGCCACTGCATGTCAACCGCACCCATCTCAGAGCACTTGGCCTCAGCACCTGGACGCCACCTCTGTCCATGCCAGAGCTACCTGCTGCCAGGCAGTAGGTTGTGTCTCATGTTGGCTTGGCTCCCTCTTGGCAAGGTGGAGGCCCCCATAGAGGGCAGCCTGGGGGTGATGGGTGCCCCCCTTGCTCCTCCTGGCTTACTCCCCACCCTCCCCCACCTGGCTCTCAGTCCTAGGAGCTGACCTCCCTGACTACATCACCAGGCTCCCCTGGCCTCAGGCGTCTGGTGGGGGTCACTAGAGGGCACTGGAGGTCAGAGGGAGACTGAGGTGCTTTTCCCTGAGGGCCTTCTCTGCAGTATCACTTCAGGCTAACCACGTCCCTTGACCACAGGCACAGCTCCTATCAAGGTGGCCCTCTCCGTATACCTCTCTCCTTCTGGGCCCTTAACCTCATCTGCCCCTCTTCCCTTCAGACCTGGAGTGGGACTGCCCCTCCTCCTGCTAGACCTGAGGTTGCCCACACCCCGCCCACACCACTGAAACAGTCCTGCTATGAAGCTCTCACCACATTAGCCGACTGGAGCAAGCCACCCCTGTCCTGCCAGGACTCCATTTTTTTTTTTTTTTTTGTCCTTTTTGAGACCAGCCGCACCGCGCTCAGCCAGTGAGCGCTGTGAGCGCACCGGTCATCCCTATATAGGATCCGAACCCGCGGCGGGAGCGCTGCTGCTGCACTCCCAGCGCCGCACTCTCCCGAGTGCGAGTGCGCCACGGCTCGGCCCAAGGACCCCATGTTGACACAGGTACAGATGTGGAAATGGACAGTTGCCACGCCCTGAACTTGCATGCTACAAGGGCTAGGAACTGCGCACACTGGGCGCCCTCAGGTGGAGGTCCCCAACTCCTGGTTCTGTCCTCACTACAGTCCACACCTGCCACTCTGAGATCAGCATCCAGACACGCTCTCTAGCGCCCTCCTGGGATCCTTCCTGGCCCCACAGTCCTGCCTGCCTGGGGAGGGGTCTAGTGAGCCCAGAGCACACCTCTGCCGCCCCCAGCCCCACTTACCCGAGAAATGCCCACGATCTGCTCGTCGGGCAGAAGGCTGACGCGCATGAAGCAGGACTCGAAGCTGGCTTCCTCCCGCTCCAGGAGGTCCCTGCCCTGCAGCACAGCCACGTGGAGGGTGTGGGAGGCAGCATCGTAGTCCATGCTCACTTCCACCTGGCCCAGTGTGAAGTCCTGCCCAAAGGTGTTGCTCACAGAGGAGATGGAGTTCAGGGAGTCGGCAGACTGGGACTTCCGGAGGGTCCCATAGGGGGCCAGGTCTAGCTCGCGGCCCATCAGCTCCAGGGGCCCCAGCTCGCTGATGCTCTCAAAGTTGTCCTCGATGCTGAGGCTGCCTTTGCGGCTGGGTGGCCTCCGAGTGCTGGCCTGCTGGGCATTCCAAACAGACACTCTCTGGGGGGGAGAAAAAGGGGCACGGGAGCATCACAAGGTCACAGCATGGTTGTGAGGAGACAGCAAGGAGATGCCTAAGCCCTGTTCATTCAAGGTACCTCCAGGTTCCCCTTTCACAAAAAGTGCATCCCTTAGTTAGGAAGGGAGAACTTGTTTAATGTCATTTCATGTCACTTAGTTTTGTCTCCTTAATCAGAATGTAAGAAAGCTTTTTCTCAAAATGTTTACTTACAGGGACAGAATTCTACACATAAATATGTCAACTGCACTGATGTTTATAAAAAGAAAAAGTAGTTAGCAATCTAAGTGTCCAGCACAAGAGGAATGGGTAAGAATACTAGGGTGTAGTCAATAGGTGATCGAGCAGTTCAAAGGAGGTTTACAAAAATGTTTACAACTTGAGAAAGCTTTCATGTTGGGTACCACAAGCCCAAATATTCAAATCTTTTTTCTTTTGGCAGCTGGCCAGTAAGGGGATCTGAACTCTTGACCCTGGTATTTTCAGCACCGCACTCTGAGTGAGCTAATCATTTGACCAGGCTCAAATATTCAAATTTTCCTTTTCTCTAAATTAACAAAAGAAAACAAAAGTCCTTGTACCATAAGCATCTCATGTATCTTCATTACCATGTTTATCTCCACCTAGTCTTCATTACCCTAATTTTTAATGGCTCCCCAACTTTTTTATTGAGCAGATAATCATAGTTTATTTTACTATTCCCTTCCTGTTGGACATTTACGTTGTTTCTAATTTTTACAAGTACAAGTAATGCAGCATCAAATAGCTTTCTTAAAATCCTGGCTCAGGGGCCGGCCCAGTGGCGCACTGGATAGTGCGCCGCTTGGGAAGTGCGGCGGCGCTCCCGCCCGAGGGTTCGGATCCCACATACAGACCGGTTCCCACTCACTGGCTGAGTGAGGCGCGGGGGCAACACCGAGGGTTGCGATCCCGTTGCCGGTCCCCGGTCCGGTGCGGGGGCGACACTGAGGGTTGCGATCCATTGCCGGACACGGAAAAAGACAAAAGACAAAAAAAAAAATCCTGGCTCAGAGGACTCAGTCCTTTTGAAGGCTTTTGACACATTATGCCAAAATGCTCTTTGGAAAAGTTGTCCCAACTTATACCTTCTCTCCCCAATGAACAGAGTGCAAGATAGTCCCCCTGTCATCCCAAATGAATGAGCATGTGGGACCCATATCTGGTAACAGATTCTGGCTGTGCTCTCCGGAACTCTATATGGTGTTTGAAGAATTCTCTGCCAAGTGTTGATGATGAAACATTCAGTAATATATACTGAGAACCCTAAAAATGTTTGTACTCCCTGATATAGTAATTCCACACCTGGGCATCCACCCAAAGTACATTATCCCAAATGAAGACAAAGTTTTACATACAAAACATTCACTATATTATTTATAATGGCATTTAGTAAATCATGGCACATGTACGAGAAGGAATCTCATGCAGCCATTAAATGATACTTATGATGGGTACTTAATGGTGTGAGAAAATGCTTCAGCTCTAAGTGACATGAAAGAACAGGGTATAAAATTCTTTTTTTTTTTCTCCCTTTTTGTCTTTTTTCGTGACCGGTAACGGGATCGCAACCCTCGGTGTCGTGCCCGCACCACGCTCAACCAGTGAGCAGACCGGTCTCTGTATGGGATCTGAATCCTCGGCGGGAGCGCCACCGCACTCCTAAGCGCCGCACTCTACCGAGTGCGCCACCGGGCCGGCCCCAGGGTATAAAGTTCTATGTAACAAGAAAGTCAAGGCTTCCGATCCCCATACCAGCCTGTTGCGCAAAAAAAGTAAAAAGTAGATATGACACCCTTTGTGTAAAAACTGTGCGTGAAAAAAAAACTGGGAGCGTAGATTAAAAATACTGGAAAGAAATGTATCGAAATGCTAGTAGTTAAAAAGCAGCTAACAGTTGCTTGCCTTTGGGTGGTGGCTTTGTTTTTTTTATTTTTTTTTATTTTTTAAAAGATGACCGGTAAGGGGATCTTAACCCTTGACTTGGTGTTGTCAGCACCACACTCACCCAGTGAGCAAACCGGCCATCCCTATATGGGATCCGAACCCGTGGCCTTGGTGTTATCAGCACCGCACTCTCCCGAGTGAGCCACAGGCCGGCCCTTTTTTTTTAAAAAAATTATTATTATTATTATTTTTTGACCAGTAAGGGTCAGCACCACGCCCACCCAGTGAGCAACCGGCCATCCCTATATGGGATCCGAACCCGTGGCCTTGGTGTTATCAGCACCGCACTCTCCCGAGTGAGCCACAGGCCGGCCCTTTTTTTTTAAAAAAATTATTATTATTATTATTTTTTGACCAGTAAGGGGATCGCTACCCTTGGCACAGTGTGGTCCGCACCGCGCTCAGCCAGTGAGCACAGTGGCCATCCCTATATAGGATCCGAACCCGCGGCCTTGGCGCTATCAGCGCTGCACTCTCCCGAGTGAGCCATGGGGCCGGCCCCAAGGGTGGTGGCTTTGGGGAGATGTTTTTCTTCTTATATTTTCCTGTATTTTTCACAGGATTTTTCTTTTCTTTTTTTCAAAGCAAGTCAAATAAAGCAGTGGGAGTGGAAAAGGAACAGAGAAATCTGTAACTGGTTGTGATCAATTAGTTGTAAACACCACTGCACTCGGACTGCCTCACAGGACGGTTTTTAAAACGGAAAGCATTCATTCATTCAACAAGTATTTACTGGCTACCTAGCACTGGGCTAGGAGTTGAAGACAAGAGGGGTCTAGGCCCCATTCACAGGAGGGATGAGCGAGAGGAGAGGAACTGAGGCTGATCCTGAGAGCGGACGGTGGGGGTTTGCGGGGCACAGTCCGGTGTGTACCTGTGGGAGCAGAAGCCTCACCTTCTGCCTGGCCTCTGCAGAGGTCTCGCCGTACTTCTGCTGAAGGTACCTGTAGTCGTAATTTGGGAATGGGGATGGGCTGGGAAAGCTCCCTGACGTCCAGAGCTTCCACAGGCTCACAGCTGCGATTCCCAGCAGTGCCAGGGCCCCTGCAGCGTAGACACCCACTTCCCAGCCAGGGGGACTTTTGATGACTGCAAGGCAAGGGTAGTCTCTCATTAGTGAGCCTGTGGCCCCCCCAGTAGTTACAGACCCCCACCCAGGGAGCAGGTTGTTCAGCACTGACTTACTTATTCACTGAACAAGTGTTTACTGGGTGCCTACTAGGTGCCAGGCGTGGTGCTGGGTGCTGGGGAGCCAGTGTAGAACAAGACACAAACTTGTGTCTTCTGCTTCTACCCGCTTCCCCACGCACATACACATTTCTACTGTGCAGAGACTTGGGTAGAGCAGGTGAAGTGCTGTGAACAATGGTCAGATATTCCTTAGGCTTTGAACAGATAGGGTCGTTCTTGCCTCTTTGAATTTTGTGACTTCATAGCCTTCAGAAGACCTCCTGGTTTCAGAGAGTCAAAGCAGCCTTTCAGAGTCTGAGACAAGAGGAAGGAGATTTGGAGGAGAAAAAAGACTCTATTTTTGCCTCAAACCACATCCAGAACAACCCAGTGTCCATCAGCTGATGCGTGGTATATAAATGTGGCACATCCACACAATGGAACATGATTTGGCAATAAAAAGGAATGAAGGTACTGATACGTGTGACAACATGGATGACCCTCGAAAACATCTTGCTAAGTGAAAGAAGCCAGTCACAAAAGACCACATGTGCTACGATTCTACTGATATGAAATGTCCAGAGTAGGTGAATCGATACAGACAGAACATAGACTAGTGATTACACAATATACTAAAAACCATTTAACTGGACACTTTAAGTGGGTGAATCATATGCAAATCTCTTACGAAAACAAACAAAACTCAGCCAAAAGTGAGGGGTAGCTGCAGGCCATACAGGGATTAGAGACAAATCCAGATGCTTGAAAGCTTTTTCTCCACCAGAGTGTAAATAACTCTCCTTATCTGAGCTTCACTGTCCCCAAGCATAGAAATGAACTACTCCCTCAGCCGTGGTGGGTGAGTCCTCACCTTAGCACGGTGCTTGGCATGTGGTAGGATAATCCATGTTAAAAGATCTTGCCTCCCTCTACTTGGAAACCTGCCTGTTTCCCCAAAGGAAGCCAAGAAGATATTGGGAGCCAATGAGATATTGGGATTCATTTTGCAGAAGGTCCCATAGTTGGCAAATATAGTTCTCTAAACCAATCTCAGTACTGCCTCTATACTCAATTCAAAAGGGGAAACTGAGGCACAGAAAGGCTAAAGAACTTGCCCAAGGTCACAGAACCAGGAAGGGGTGGCACTAGAATTCCATCTCTGGCAGCCAGACTCCAGAGCAAGCAGGGGCCACCACTGCCCCACTGGCCTCGACCCAGCGCAGTTCCCTGGCAGCAAGGTGGAGAGAGGTGGGGAGGGCATTTCAGGGGTGGAGACTTATCAGCACACATCCACTGGGCACCTCGCGTGTGCCAGCACCCTGTGGGCACGGGGAGCCAGGGCTGGGTGAGTCAGTCCCAGGCCCGGTTTCTGTCCTTAAGAAGCTTACAGTGGAGGGGGCAGGGTGAAGCGGGCAATCAACAGACAAACCAGGGTGCTAGGAGTCATGGTGGGGACAGCCCAGGAAGGCTTCCCGGAGGAGAGACATGTGAGCTGAGAAACAAAGAGGAGCAAGAAGAGTGCTGGGCCATGGCCACAGGAGCTGAGTTTGGGGCAGGAAGAACGGAGGGACATCAAAAGGCCAGAGTGAGGGGGGCTGGCCGGTTACAGCAGTTCAGATGCCCTGAAGAACAAAACCCCCCAAAATAAAAAGGACAGAGTGAGCAGAGTGCCCTGCGGGCAAAAGAGAGTGGTGGCTCCTTGCCACCATGGCCCCAAAGCCTGGTCGCACAGGGAGGAATCCCGCAGCACGGCAGCCCCTCCAGCAGGGGAAGCCTCAGTCCTGCTCTCTTCGCGACCCACTGTCTCTAGCCAGAATCCACAACACCAGCTCACGCCAGCGAAGGTCAGGACCCAGCCTTCGGCCTGATACTCATCCAGCACTGAGCATGCTATGAGGCCCTGTTCACTTTCTAGAAGTGGGAAACTGAGGCTGAGAGAGGCAAAGAGCACATCTATTTATCTGCTCAAGGCCACAGAGGTGAGAAAGGCCGAGCCTGGGTGCAGGGACCTTGGCTCTCAGGCAAGTCATCCGGCCTTTCTGGGCTTCAGCCTCCTCATCTGGAAAACGGACATGACGACAAAAACATCCCCCATCCAGTGGTCCCACCCTGGAAAATTTATTCTAAGGAGAAAATCCCAACAAGTTTTATGTCTGGTGTGAGTCATAGAGGCTGTATTTATAACAGCAGAAATCTGGAAACAGCCTAAAGGCCCCACCAAGGGGCTGGTGGTGCTGTCTTGGGAGGAAATGTCACTGGCCTTTGAGAATGACAGTTAAGGTCATTCAGAATGACACTGTGCCATGCAGAGAAACGTTTCCAGCATTGTTAAGAGAAAAAAAAAAAAATCAATCCTTAGCATGGTATAGCCACACAATTTTGATGTAAAAATCACATAGGCTGTGGACAAGGGTCAAAATAGGGATGGAGAGACTGCAAGCAAACCCTACTTACTCCTGACTTGTCCTGCTGCGAGAATGTGACTCGTGGGCTAAGTAAAGCCACAACAAAGAGATCTATGGAGGGTCCCAAGCCCAGCCCTGACAAGGCTCTGGAATGTTCTATGAGTCTGGTGAATAGGGGATGGGAGAGAAAGGACTGGGTCAACTGAAGAATGATGTGCATGCTGCCCTAGCCAGGTTACAGCAGGGGCTGGCCAGACGGCAGGACCAGAGGTCCAAGGTCCGAGCAGGTGACAAGTGGGCATAGGGAGGTGTCCCCCTGCTCATGAGGACCCAGGTGCTGAGAGACAGAAGCCTGCATTCGGGTGGCGGAGAAGGGTCAGGGCTAGGGGCACAGAAGGAAAAGCCTCAGGGAGGTGACATGAAATGACAATTAATACTCATCTACTGATTGATTTTTATGGAGTACCAGCCTTGGGGAGATATAGGAAGAATTCCCAAGGGAAGTGAGATCTAAGCTAAGACCAGCAATGAGCAATTATTATTATTAACAATAATAATTAGTTCCCCTTAGAAAGCACTTACTATTTGCAAGCCCTGTTCTAAGCACTTCATATGTATTAACCCACTGAGTCCTCAGAACAATCCTGTGGTTATTGAGCACCTTATAGGGTGCTCAGAGCTGGATGAGTATCAGGCTGGTTGAGTGAGGTAGGTTCTATAATTATCCCAATTTTGCAGATGAGGAAGCTGAGGGGCAGAGGAGAATTTGCTACCAGACAGTCTGGCTTCAGATCTGCACTCATAACCTTGACACCAGACCCAAGGACTTAGCCAGGCAGAGGCAGAGAAGAATCCCAGGCAAAGGGAATGGCACGTGCAGAAGCCTGGAATTGGCAGACAGTCGTATCTGCCCTGATTTGACCACTTCACACACATTAGGCCACTGAATCTTCCCATCAGTCCTTGACGCAGGCCTCATTGTCCCCATTTTACAGATGAGTAGGTGGAGGCTCATAGAGGTTTCTTCACTTGCCCAAGGCCATGCCAGGGCTTTGGCCAACACCTGTGAGCCTGCAGATGAAAAGTAAGGATCCCTGGCTGGGGGTTGAGAAAGATAGTCCCTGATCCATCCTTCAGATCAGCCCTGGGCTGCCTGGGGGCTGTGTGTGGGAGCTGGAGTGATGGGGAGCACTGGCCCAGGACTTGGGAAACCTGAGTTCATCTGTAAACGATGAGGAGAAAAGATGGCATGCCTAATGCAGCTCTGACGGCACCCACCATTGATTGGCGGGGCTGCAGAAGTGTGTCTGAACACTCCCAGGCCATCCCGTAGTGTAGTACTGCGATCGATTAGCTGTGCCTGCCAGGTCACAGGCGGAAAGGTGGAGCCGCCTGGCAGGCCATCTGTGGATTGGGTGACCTCTGAGTTTAATGCTCCATGAATCTAACATTGACCTTCCTGGATTTTCTTTCACTTGATATGCTCCAGGAAGGGCCCCCAGGTGAGTGGGTTCCATGTCACAGGCTCATTCTCAGGAAGCAGCGGGACAAAGGTCTCCCGGCGGATCCCCTCTCTCCCAGAGGGAGTCACTTGAGTGGAAAGATGAAGAGACCTTAGACTGGTCTAAGCTTGGTGTCCCCAAGGCCGTGTGACCTTGGGCAAGTCACTGACTATGCTTATCAGCACAACAGGGTGTTATTTGTGTCCCCCTGACAGCTCCCACCCCAGTCCTGATGTGAAGAAGGTCCCGTGAGACGATCTGCAGATGTGATCCCCGGAGGGGCTTGCCTCAGGAACTCACCACTTAGGTGGTATTCTGCAACATCCACAGCCATGATGCCCTCTGCAGTCGATGTGTCTGGAAAGGAAAAGAGAGTCAGCAGAGAGGGCTGTAGAGGGTCACCAACCCCAATCCTATGTCCTGACCTCCATGGCGCCTATGTGCCTGTCATCAGGAGCTCACACTCAGCTTGTGAGGGGAGCCCTGCCAAAGGTAGGTGTTTTTTTTTTTTTTTTTGTCTTTTTCCACGTCCAGCAATGGATTGCAACCCTCAGTGTCGCCCCCGCACCGGACCGGGACCGGCAACGGGATCGCAACCCTTGGCGTTGCTCCCGCGCCCCGCTCAGCCAGTGAGCGGGAACCGGTCTGCACGTGGGATCGGGCGGGAGCGCCGCCGCGCTTCCCAAGCGGCGCACTATCCAGTGCGCCACCGGGCCGGCCCAAGGTAGGTGTTTTTTAAATGGCACTTTAAAAAATAGTGGGCTGGCTGATTCTGCTGGTTTCAGTGCAGTGTTATAACACCAAGATCAAGGGTTCAGATCCCCATATCGGCCAGCCACCAAAAATATATATAGTTTTTTTAAAAAAGGTGTTTAAAGCTCTTTTCAAGCATATAAGACCTTAGAATTCCAGGGCTTGGCCTGTTAGCTCATTTGGGAGAGCTTGGTGCTAACACCAAGGTCAAATGTTCAGGTCCTGGTTCAGATCCCCAGATTGGCCAATGCCAAAACAAAAACAAACAAAAAACCCTCCAAGGTTCCAGCTAAAACACAGGATGCCTAGTGGCATTTGAATTTCAGATGAGTTTTTAGTATATGTCCCAAATATTGCATGGGACATACTTATGCTAAAAAAAAAAAAATGGGCTGGGGCTGGCCCGGTGGCTCACTGCTACAGTGCGCCGCTTGGGAGCGCGGTGATGTTCCTGATGCTCCCGCTGAGGGTTCGGATCCCACATACAGATCGGCCACTCACTGGCTGAGCAAGGTGCGGGAGCAACACCGAGGGTTGCGATCCCGTTGCTGGTCCCAGTCCGGTACGGGCGCGACACTGAGGGTTGCGATCCGTTGCTGGTCACGAAAAAAAAAAGACAAAAAGGAAAAAAAAAAAAGGGCTGTTTATCTAAAATTCCAGTGTTACTCAGCATCCTGCATTTGTAGTTGTTGAATCTGGCGACCCTAGCTCACTTCCATCCTAACAACAGGCCCCATAGTGCGTTCAAGAGCCTGACTTCCAATGCTTCTGTTTCCGTTGGAAAGGAAAGGCTGCATTTCTGCAATTTTCTACTCTCAGTCTTTTCACTGCTCGGGATGGTTTCTTCCCCGGCCCCCCAACCCACTCCCAGGTTTTATGAACCACCGAAGTCTAGGTTGTTCTAGAAAGGTCTGAGAGCTCATACAAGCCATTACCTGAACCCAGGTGACTGCTTATTATTTTATTATTGTTGTTACTAAGCCATAAATCTGGCTCACAAACACATGCTAAGTGGGTGGGGGGAGTTCTGGAAAAGGGAGACTGGATGAGCTGTACTGATCTGGCTCAAGGACACAGAAGGCCAGGATATCCCAACCCCAACCTCTGGGTTCCCTGGCAGCTGGGAGAGATGGTTGCACAGGTAAGCCTGCAGGCCTGGGCAGGGCAGGGCATGGGAGAGAAATGGGGGTAGGGGGGTGGGGAAAGAGCCCCAGGCAGCTGCTTTTCTGTCCCAGCAGCAATGCCAACCTGGCATTGCTGGATCCTCTGGATCTTGAAAGAAATGCCAGATACCTGGCTTTTTTATGTGCTGAGTTTTAAATGTTACAACCAATTCACAAAACATATAAACCCCCGTTCAGGTGCAGTGTAAGAGGTTCTCGGGTTGTGGCTTGTTGGTCTGCTACCCCTCGAAGCATTCTGCAGGCTCCCCTTAGGACTGGAGTCAAGTCAGAGGGTGACACCGAGACGCTCAGCACTTTCAGAAATCCTGGGGCTCTCCCCAGTCTGTGGCTTTGGAGTTAAGAAGCTGGGGTGCCTTGGTTGAGTCAGGGTTATCCAGCACACATGGGGGTGCATAAGTCCTAGGGCAGGAGGCCTGGAGAAGCAGGGCAGATAAGGGTGCAGACAGTTCCCAGCTCTTCTGATGCTGCCCCCACTCCCACCGGGAGATGTGCGTTGTCATGGTGATGGGAGGGCGGTGCTAAACCAGGAAGGACTTCACTCATCCTAACTTGAGTGAAGCTCATTCCTGGGTCCTGGGCAGATGATGATAACTGTACTCTGAGCAAGAGCAATTCTAAGCACTTTGCATACATATGACCTCATTTAATCCTCATAACAACCCCATGGAGTACTTGCTATTATTATCTCTGGTTTGCAGAGGAGAGTCCCAAGGCGTGGAGGTAAAGTAATTTGCTCCAGGCCACATAGCTAATAAACTGTTCAACCCAGGATGTCTGGCTCCAAGCTCCTAACCACTGTGTCTTACCACAGGGGGGCATATGGTTTCAAAGAAGTTTCCTAAGAATCTGCAGGTCAAATTGGCCACGTGTGCAAGCCCAAGGTGGCCCTAGCTCCTGGCAGAAAGGGGTCTGGATGCACTGAAACTCATGTTAACGTGAACAAACACATCCTAGACTGCTCCTGCCTTGCTGTGAATCCAGTATTGCCATCGGCTTTTTTTTCCTGCTCATCTGGCACAAGCTGACTTTGCAGGAGTGAGGCCAAGATGGGGCAGCCAATTGACAGCAGCACTCTAGCAAGGTATATGTGGCAAAAAACAAAAAATAAAAATAAAAGTAAACAAAAAAGTATACGTAACAAGGCACACCCTGCAGCACAGTATGTGTGGTGCAGGACAGAATGTCAAGGTGTATCAGACCTCTGGCTGTTGGGGACCCCCATCCCTCCAAGGCCAGTCCAGCTCAGACCACAGACTCCGTCCCACACTGCCTGCTCTCCCCCTTCCCCTCGTCACCATGTCCCATCAGGAGCCATGCTTTTGGTGAAGGTGTGGATGACTGCTAGACACACCCCCAAACAGAAATTCCAGCTGTGGTCCCCTGTGAAGGGTTAGAAGCCAGAGCACATCTGCCTAAGTGGAGGGAGGAAGAACTGGGGAGACACGGGAGCTCCTGTAGGGGGTTGGCCTGAGCACAGGGTTTGTAGTCAGCTGCACTTAGCTCTGAATCCCAGATGTGCCCCCTCGCTAGCTCATGTGGCCTTGGGCAATTTTCAGTCTCTCTGAGCTCAGATGTGTCATGTGTAACACAGGGCTCTGCCTGGTGAGGGTGCCAGGAGGGTACAATGAGAAGGTAAGCGTGGTCAGGCTTGGCAAACATCAGCTGCTGTGGTTATTGGCCTGGCGATGGTCTGAACAGTGTAATCGTGTGGGCAGCACTGGCAGCCTGCACGTGTGTTTTATCTGTCTTAAACTTGAGTGAGTTGCCAACATTTAAAAATTGGGAAATTTCCCATTAAAAATTGATTTTAAAAAAAGAAGAGTAAACATATATAAATAGCTCCCTTTCTCCTTGCTTTTTGCACAGTGACAACACCTCAGGCACTCTCTTTTAGCCTTTCCTTTTTTGCATATCATATTGTGATTATTTCTTACCTGCATTTATAGCACTTTCTTGTTCTTTTTACTGGCTGTAAAGTGTCCCCCTTGAGTGTTTTTTACTATTAGTCAATCTCCTACTAATAAACATATAGGTTGTTTTCAGTTTTTTGCTACTGTAAACAATGCTACAACAAATAACCTGGTTCAGGGGCCTGTGTACTCAGGAATAAGCACACTATTTCTATTCCTTATTAATTTTAGCTTCTTGACTTCTCAACATATTAGATCAGCTCACTTTGATCATCTCTCCTGTCTCTCCCATCCTCCTAATAGAGTTATACAACTATTTTTAATTGCTATATTGGTGACCTTTTAAGTTTTAAGTAATATACAAACAATTTATTCCTTATTCCTTAACCTAAGGATTTTATTTCTCCCTTTTTTTTTTTTTTTTTTGTCTTTTTTCGTGACCGGCAACGGATCGCAACCCTCAGTGTCGCGCCCGTACTGGACCGGGACCGGCAACGGGATCGCAACCCTCGGTGTTGCTCCCGCCCCTCGCTCAGCCAGTGAGCAGCAGGTCTGTATGTGGGATCCGAACCCTCGGCGGGAGCGCCACCGCACTTCCCAAGCTGCGCACTATAGCAGTGCGCCACCGGGCCGGCCCACCGGTCATCTTTTTTTAAAAAAAAAAAAAAGAAAAGTTAGAAGATCTGGGAACAGTGGGTCTGCACCCCACCTCCACCAACTACAAGAGCAGAGTTGGGGCTAAGCAGGCTCTGCCCCTTCCCCGAAGGATATTTGCTCTTGGGTTCAAGCCCGGTGCCTCCTGCCCCTCCATTCACTTCCAGAACCTACTGGCCACAGGAAGCATCTCTGTTCAAGAGCCTGGTAAACTGGATTTAGGACAAGCTAGGAGAGGTTCAGAGAAGTTAAGTGAATTGCCCAAAGCCACACAGCTCTGTGGTAGAGCTGGGCCTGGCAGCTGTGCCTGCTGCCTCGTCCAGCGCCTCTTCCATTAGCAGCAACAGCCCTCATACCAAAGACTTCACATGCATCTTCCCCATCACCCCCAAGACCACTATGGGGCAAATACTGTTATTATTCTCACTCCATGAAGGAGGAAGTTTTCAGAGAAGAGCAGTGAATTAGCCCAAGGTCACCCAACCAGTAAGCAGAGAGCTGAGACAGCCAGATCGGGCTCTGCAAGCTAGTGCCTCCTTTAATGGATTTTTCTCACTATCCCTGAGACCCCCCTGACTCCATTTAACCCGAGATGACCTCAATGGGCTCCTGCTGGCAGCCTGGAGGTCTGCCAGGCAGGGGAGCTGTGGCTTCGGCCGGGAATAGGATGCTGACAAGGCATATCAGAGGCCAGGTCAGCCTGTGACCAGTGCTTCCCCAGTGCTCCTGACACCTGGGAAAGAACAGAGCAGGGGAGAGCTGGAGCTGCTCCAGACCCTCATCTGAGCTCCTAAGACTGCACATCCGCCTCCTTCAGCACCCCTCCCCACCCAAGCGACCTATTAGATG